TCATGCAGACCGGTCGTCACCTGCGAAGCTTTCGATCTTACCGACGTCGAGCTTCGACTCAATGGTAATCCGATTTTTTTCTTCGTTGCTCTCCCACGTACTTCGTCCCTCGTTGGGAGGTCTAGGAGCTGCCTTACGATGCCAACCTTGTCTTGGATCGTAGTACCAGGGTTGGTCCGGGTCATAGCGTGTTGGAGGTACGTCAGGAGCTCCAGTGGGGAGCTCTCCTCTGTCTTCCTCTCTCCTTCCACCATTCCTACTCGATTGGTTCTGTTCCCCTCGTTGGAACCTTCCGAATTACTATCACCCGGTCCCCCGGAAGGTGGTGGAGGAGGAGGAGGCGGAGGTGGTGCCCCTCCCCCGCTCCTTCCTCCCTGTTCTCTTTGACCCTGTCCCCCTTGACTCGGAGGTCGTTCTCGATCTCTCGATTGACTAGAAAAATGTGGGGGAGGTACTCTAGTAGGGGGTTTAAAACCGCCTTTGCCTTCTCCCTCATTTTCCAACGCGTACGCTCCTCCTTCTGGCCTCCCATACTCCCCTAGTTCAGCTCTTTGCACTCGGGCTCCCCACTCGTGAATACGTCGTCGGTCCACACTCGGAGTATCCGGGATCTGTCCTGCTTGTTCTACCTGGGGTTTCCACCCCTAGCTCCTGTAGGAGTGTTTCGGTTAAAGGATATTGGTTCCGTAGCTTGCCAGCTCCTTGGCTGGGGAACTACAGGAGAAGGACCCCCCCTCGTATATTCTCTCATTACCCTAGGTGCTCGCCCGGATAATCCCGCCGTGTTTCCTGTTTTGGAAAGGGGTCCTCCAGTCGGTACTTCCCCCGCTGTGAATCCTTTCTTTACCTCACGGAGTTGTTCCTGGAGCGTCTCAATGACCCGAGCCTGTTGTTGGATCATTGCTACCGATTCCTGAGAGCGTGCCGACTCGAAAGCCATGCCAGGTCGGTTCATCTGAGCTCCCGTTACAAAGGGAGTTCCAAAAGGAGCTCCCTGCGGGGGTACCGCCTCTTCGTGAACTGCCAACGTTCTTCGTTGGTTCGGACCCCTTTGACTTTCCGTTCCCACTGCCTGAGATTGCATCGATACCGACCCTTGATACGGAATGACTGATGGATTGCTCAGTCTTGGAGGAACGTGTACAGGGTTGGGAGCCAACCGAGCTGTCAGATCTTGTCCGGAGATCCGGGATGAATGTTGTGCGCCATCCATCCTCACCTCACCAAACTGGTATCGCTGCGTCGAGACTGGGGTTAAAGGTTTCGTTTGCAGGTTAACTCTGGGGGGAGGAGTCGCATGTTGAGCCAAGGCATGTACAGTGGGGGAGGTCCCAGAGCGTAACTGGGGGCTCCTCGTGGCCGTGTTACCGGGGTTAAGGAGTTCAGGAACCTCGGTATTCCTGGGCGATGAATGTTTCTGCGCCAGGAAACGACCATCAGATCCATGGAGCTGCCCTTTCTGGTCAAATTGCTCCGGAGGGAACTCCCCTACGCTTTCGAGTTCGCATTGAACCATATACGAGGTTCCCCGATTATCCGCGACCAGTCTGCGACGGAATTCCAAAGCTCTTTCTAGATTCGATCCAGAAAGTTCCTCCGACAGCATCAGAGTGTCTGATTCCGCTAGTAGCGTCCGATGTCGGGTCTCCTGCGAACACAACATCGCTTCAGACTCCTCACTCCTCACCAGAAGCTGGTGCATATGCCTCATGGGCGTGTACGTGTATACCGTCTGTCCGTTACGGACCCGGACGGGACTATCCTGATCAGGCATTGACTCCACTGGGGCCAGGAGGTGAGCCGTGGTGTACCTCCTGCGTCTACGATTTTTTGCAGCGATTGCGTTAGCATCCTCGTTACTTTCCTCATCGATTTTAGCTGCTGCTTCCGCTAGGTTTGCGTTCCGAAGTATTTGGATCGCCTGGTAGTTCGGTATGTTCACCCTCGAAGGGGGAGGTTCAAACCGTACAGCTCCTGATCTGTAGTTAGAGGCTCGGTACAATATACGTAGCCCTGCTTCGCCACAGAATTCCTTCTCCCTTCCATGGGTATGAGGGAGGAGGGGAAGTATTCCCCTCGAGTTTCGGAACGATCGTCCGTAACGTGCCTCTGCCTCTAACAGTTCCAACATCCTCTCTGGGTCCAACAGGACGTTGTACAGCCAGAGAAAATCTGATCGATTCGCGGGGGTCATCAGCCACTGCTGGGCCTTCTCTGGGAGGTCTATCTCCAATTGAGTTCCCACTGTTAGGAACTGTACTCGTAGGTCTGAGAATTCGAGACCGTCTCCCAATACTTCGATCCCCATTGACTCCAATACCTCCCTTAGGACCATAGCTACATCTTCCGGGATACACTCCTGAATTCGAATGACGTCTTCCAGACGCAATGTCATTTCGGACAAGGGTTGTACGGGGAAGTTGGTCCTGCTATGGTGTATTGCGTGCGTACGCTCCCAGTTGGGCGTATTCATAGCTGGGCTCTTCAGGAGACTGGCGAGTGAACTTCCTCGTCTCGGAGGAGGAAGGTTAAGGGACTGTACTGGAGGTGTTGGTAACCTCCGGGATGACGTCCGAGATTGTTCGGATACTGCAGGGGATACCCTCCTCTCTGGAAGTTTCTCCTGTTGTCGTACTGTGAGAGGGTCAGTACTCCCCCCTTGTATCCTTTCGATAGCGGCTACTTGGCCGCTGACTCTTCCACCCGCGTTCGAAGCTGACTCCATGTCTAGCTGCGGTATCGGTCCAGGGGGAGGTCCTCTCGTTCCCCAGGTAGGGGAGTATGCGAAACCTCCCATGGGACTACTGGCAGGTTGGGCGTAACCCATGGAGGTAAACCTCCGTTGTGGTGGTCCCATCCCAGGTTCCACTGGAGGGGGCCCCTGAACCTCCGGTTGACGTCCCTCTGGGGTCCGGATGTTGCTGGCGGTTTCATCCCCGAACGACTGTTCTGGGATGGACATCAGGCGTTGACCAGCTGCCACCGTGATGACAGTGGAGCTAGCAGCCTGGTTCGATTTCTGAGCTTGTGTCGTGTTTCCACGAGATAAGGCGCTCTTTTGTTTCTTTGATTCGGTCTTGGAACTAGAAGGTCGTTCCGTTGACGTCGCCGACATTTCGTCGCGACGAGTCCGTTCGGTGACGGGAGAGCTTGGTATAATGTAAGACCTGGGTCAAAATAGGTCTTAGGGTAGGTTTTGGTATGTGGGGGTTTATGTTGTAGCGTGCTAGGAGCAGGCTGGAGCTCGAAGGGAGCTACGAGAACCGCGACCGAGGACGGGAAGGACCTAGTAGTGGTTGGAACGACGAGATGGTGACCCTTGAGGGGTTCCTAGGAGGTCCAGGGAGGTCCCTAATGCGTAGGGAGGTTCGGGAAGAGTGCGGGACCGTAAGATATTGCGTAGTAGGAGTTGTACTCGCTAGAACGTCAATATAGAGTCGAGTAGGTAGTTTATGCAACGGGGTCTCGAGGGTGTAAGCTCCCGAGAAGGGATATGCCAGGGAGGGTAGGTCCCTGGGGACTAGGTTGGAGGATGGTCGTCCTCGAGTGTGGGAGGTGGTAACGGAGAAGCAATACGTAGTTCGACGTGAGGGGTAGCTTCGACGTTACCTAGATCGAGGTCCCGAAGCTTACGAAGTAGCTAGGGAGCTCTGGGAGGTTTGGGGAAGAGTAGCTCACCAAGCGGGTAGGCGTTGGGGAGCTTTAGTAATGTTCGAGGGAGCTCGGGGACTCACTCGGAAGGCTTAGACTTGAAGTAAAAGCGTATATTCGATCGTACAGACGATCAGAGAGACAATAGACAGAAGTAGAGAGAAACAGAGGTAGAGAAACAGAGAGTAAAGAGAAATCCGTATGGTTAGCAGGTACAAAGGGACAGGGACTGGACCTATGCAAAAGGGTGTGTGTTCAAAATATACCAAGCTGCCGCTTGGAGACGTTACGGAGCTACTTAAATAGGTATGGGAAGTGAACAAGGGAACATCGGAACCTAGGGACATGAGGCAGTAGTCGAAGGAGACAGGTGATCGAGATTTGTACTTAATGGGGCTGGTGCTAAGGAGTTTCGTACGCGTGTCGGGAGGTTGTCAGGATAGTCTTGGGGAGGTGCGTATTACCCGTGGTCCTGTCTTGGGGAGGTGCGTAGTACCCGTGGTCCTGTCTTGGGGAGGTCGGATGTCTTGGGGAGGTGTAAGGAAGCATGTGGGATGGTGCTGGGACTGGTTGGTTGTGGTCAGGGCATGACAGTAACCAATTAAGAAAGTGGCAACTATATTTGTAACCAGCAATGGCAAAGTCAACACCAAGAATTCTTTTGTTCCGGCACCAACAGCTTGATAATTCTTCAATACATTGACGGCCCCGCTTGCAGCATCGAAAACATTGCAAACTAACATTGAGAATAGGGTAAGTAATGAATAGAGATGAGGATTAAGCCATTTTACCTCCACAAGCAAGTAAGCAAAAGCCTAGAAGTAGTTTTATATGCCAATTGCGGGGAAACAATATCCATGCACGCCAGACAACAATACCATCATTAATCAAAAACTTGAACAGACATGAGAAAATGTAAGTGAAAGTGCAAACAAATACTACTTACATTGAGTCTTTCAAGGAAATTACCTGAAATTTTGATGTTCCCCAGTATTTTTGTGGTTTTTTGGATATCTGGAGGATTGAAGGATCCTAGTGGAATTTGGACAAGAATGTATTCTAGGTCAAGAATGACAAGAGATGTAGAATTTATGAACATGAATATGATGACAGTCAAAAGCACCAGTCGGGCTTTTTTAGTGGCATCACCGCCATGGCGAGTCCTGGTCAGTGTCAGTTGCTATCAGTAGACTGAAATAAATCATGACAATGTATGAAGGCTGACAAAAGGAAATAAATTGCAATAAAAGAGAACGTCGCATATATCCCATAGAGACAGAAACCAACAGCAGTCTCAGCAATCCACTCTTGTAGAGCATATATGTCTGCATCTGAGAGAGGACCTGACTGCTGCTGTGAAGCCATGGAGGTAATGTTGGGAAGGTCGGAACAGAACAATAGAAGAAGACCCTATATATACTGGTGGGAATCAAATTTACCCAAGTATTTAATGAGCTGTGGTTTGAACCGAGCAAGTACTTACAATAGACTTGACACTCACTTTGTATTGGTGGCGTATGATTCAACGAATAGTGCGGAAATGAAGTAGGCACGGACACAGTAGCACCTTTAAGTAATCAAATGATTTTCTTTGGGCTACATACAGCCAATAATACCATTGTCCATACCTTGAGTGAATAGTTCCAGATCCTCCAGTCAACTTATATAACAGTAATGGAACTCTGTTTTGTAGAAAAGAAGAAATTCATGATAATCATATTTTGGGATAACAAAATTGCTTAGTAGTGTCACTATTGAAACAAGCTGTGTATCCATAAATAGGTGAGACCAATGCAGAAAAAAATCACACCCACCGCCATAACACCACCTGATTAACACCTAATTGCATTCTATTACTCCAACCACAAGTACTAGTAGTGGCAGAACTGTGTTACAACCATGATCTTGTGATATGGGAGAGGCACCAGATCAACTACCTCCTCATATTGAGCCACTTTGGTCAGCATCAGCTTGTAAAAAAAACCAAGAATATTACCTGGAGAAATGACATTCACAGTATTTGACCCTGATACTTATGGAAGGATCCAAGGTTTAGTAGTGTTACATCTTATATTATGCCAGTACATGGAGGAGGGCACTAAGGAAGGAGAAGATGGGTAAGTTGGTAAGTGTTGACAGATGAAAGTAGAGGGACAAGAGAACTTAAGTTGGGCTGAGCTGAATTTGTGGCCACTTTCAACAAGGCACCAATCAAACAGCTTGTAGTGGAGAGGTTCACTGATATTGATCAACTGCTTTTAGAAACAAAGAAGGCATTGGAACATCTGGGTGAAGGGAGGGCAGCCAGTGACTTGGTCATTGAGGACGAACTCAACTATTTCTCTCTGACAATGATCAGTATGCAACTAGAGTATGGCAAGGAGGGAAACCCGGTATTGCCTGACTTGAAGGGGAATGCTTATTCGCAATGGCCTTCTATTTATAGGGACATGAGGATAACGAGAGGGCGGCAGCCAAATGAGAGCGGATACTTCAAGGATCATATTATCAATCCCGATTTCCTCCGAGTCGTCGCCCAAATCTTGAACCCATGTCCTGACTCCTCTTCATTAGGGCCTTACCTACAGTACAGTTCTTATTCCTTGTGTCTTCATTCACCACCTGCTTTCTCTTGTTGCGTCGCTGTGTATCGAGACTTTATGAATGACATATTTGACAATCTGTGTTGTCTCCAACTACAAAGACGCAATTGTAGTGCAAAACTTGGGGTGAATCATCAACTTCATGAGTCCATCTGAGTTGAAGACAAGGAACTTTCTGGCAAAAGGTGAGTCCGAAGCCGATCTAACAGTTTATTAGAGACCAAGTTACTAGTTAGGGTAAGATTCTGTAAGATTATCCTTGAATCGACGTTGTTATACCCCGAACATGACCGGAAAGGGGGTGATATCTTGTTACATATGTATATGGAGGAACGTTTGAGGGGTATGCCAAGATATGTCTCCCAAAGTGTGGGGAATTGCGCGGACTAGGACTTGCACTGAGATAAAAATTACTAAACCCACTGGTCACAGCCAGCACAATTTTCACTGCGAAATTCAATGCAAGCTAAACATAATTCCTCTTGCATGTGTTCTATGTTTCGCGCTGGGGGCTTGGTGCATAAGTCTGGGTTTGCATTGAAAGAATGAGACAAATCAAGCAAGAAATATCGAAAGAATTGAAAAAAAACAAGGAAAGGATCTTAGGATTTTGATTCCCACATACATCGCAAGATTTGGTGAATCAATTGACACAAATTGTTTCACTCGGCGTGCGACCAGAACCTCGGTACGTGGTTCATCAAAGAAATCCAAGAGCTTTCTCGAGATTCTATTGTGGTATTTGTTTCGGTAAGAATGCGCAATTACTGCGTCGTTTATGTTCAAAGACGGATCTGGTGGTTCATTTTCATCGAACTCGGATGGAGCAAACCTTCGAACATGAGTGGTGGCATCCTAGAGGACGAAATTGGATTGGTACCATGTACTAAATCATTATAACGGTTGGAGTATTTGGATGCGGCAGAGATTGGTTTGAATTTTGAGCTGAAGCAAGTCCAAGACGGCATAAGCATCTGTGGGTCACAGATACTAATTAGCATGAAGAACCAGCTGAGAAAAGTAAATGAATGAGGAAGACATAAAAGCGACATTGAAAGATGAACGTCGCTGAGTGGTCTATACCGGAGCATCGTTGAAATCATTGGGAGACGACCGATGAGACCGGCGATGGTAGTCAAGGAAGTTACAGGCGCTAACGCCGTCTTGTGCGCTTGCCCAAGCGCTCAAGCAATTTATAACTTAGCGGCAGGCCAGCGAAGATAATCCGTGGATGAATCGGCAACTCTGTGAGTCTCCGGAATCAGAGACAAACCAACTAACACCTCCACCACCTCGTCCCAGCTAATTTCGCTTATTCATGCTCCCGGGTGACCGTAAGCGTTCGTCGACGAGTCCACGGTGAGGGAATCAAGGAAGAAGACAATGGTCCGTCGGCTTCCGTCAAACTTTCTCTCCAAAGCCTCTGACAGTGAAATCGACTTCCAGGATCTCTAATTTTTGTACTGTGTATCGACCGCACTTATCCCGCATTGAGCTCAAACTGTTGAAGATATCAGATAGAAAATATGGGAGCAAGAAACAAGTGCTTCTTTTCCACCAACTCTGAACGCGTTCATCATCCGAGCTTGAGTTGGGACTGTGTAACATCCGGTCATGCCTGTTGTATGTTGTTGTATGTCGCTGCCGGGTCGTTGCCATCATACTACAGGATATGTCACCTTCCGATTTTTCCGTGCTTGAAGTAGTTGATTCTGTCATCAAACTTATGGCTCACATATTCAGATGCTTCTACTCCTCGAAGTACTTTACATGGGTTTACATGGGATTTGAGCACGTTTGATCCTTTCCGTGTGGATTCAACATTTTGAAGAACAAGAGAAACATCATACGGTAAGTGTCGGTTCCAGCTGATTACATGACTTGTGCGTCGGGCTCGGATTCTATGCCAACTTCCTTCAACCACGGCCGTACGTATTATGCTCCTATCACGGACGGACTTCAAGATCTTCCCTCCCCTATAATTCATTGATGCTGGATCACGACGGGTACCAACCTGGTACCCGTTACTACTGCCAGTTCCTTGTTCAACTTACGCATATGCATCTATCGTAACCAGCTGATTTCCTTCTTCCGTCCTTTCTTTCTGGATACCTATGAAATCCAGTTCTACTGTCTCAGTGGTCGAGTGCACGTCAACCGCCGGCTGTCACTGAGAGCTACTATAAAAGACTGGAGTATCGATCTGCAAAGCTTCACACTAACTTGTTTTCACTGACTTGTTCGCGTCTTTCCTTCGTTTAATCCTTTCGGAACCGAGAGTAACTTTGCCCTTACTCTCCTCGCTAACTCACCCAGTCGACCATTCTTCATTATCTGTCCCTCTCCTTCGCTCGTTTTACTCCCCTCGCTCATCTCCCCCATCATCCATCGACAATATGTTCATCAAACCTCTCCTCTTCACCGCTCTCACCTTCACTGCTCTCTCTGAAGCGATACCCTTACTCCCCAGGACCACTTACACCGGTGACGGTGAGTACAGACTTATGCTCTCTTCTCAATTGAATAATAACCTTTGATGAATTCATCTTAGTTACCTACTACACTCCCGGACTCGGAGCTTGTACGTGCTCTCCTCACAATACATCCTCCATCCGCTCTTACACTGAGAATTTGCTTTGCAGGCGGCTTAGTCAACACTTCAGCTCAATTGGTCGCAGCTATCGGACACATAGCCTTCGATTCTTACCCGTAAGATGTTTTCGTCAAGAACGCACGTTTTCTACATCCTGATACTTATTCTCACTTCTATAGAGGCGCAACCGCCAACCCTAACACGTAGGAAAATTTCCAGTGTACTTTGCCCTGATTTCTCATTATCGATTCGGTTATAGTAACCCTATCTGCGGGAAGAAAGTCACCGCCTCCTGTACGTCCTTACATTATCGTATATATCCTGAATTACCCCTCTCACACGTTGCTCACCTGTACTCACAGATGGTGGACATAGTGTCACAGTTGAAATCGTAGACCGTTGCGTTGGATGCGCGGGTGAATATGATCTGGACCTCAGCTCGACCGCTTTCAGCGAATTGGCACCCTTATCAGTCGGTCGCCTGACAGGGGTCACTTGGGAATACGTTGCTTAGGCCCTTCTTAGTATGCCTGTACATAGAATAAATCTTAGAGGAACGCGACTGCTTTTTATGTAAAATAGTAATCACTGTGGGGATGAGCCAATGTCTTCGCGGTGAAAATGTAGAGAAAATGCAAGGATTTTTACCAAAATTCATCAAAAATCCTGGGCACGAATTTTAAAACTTTTCGTGTGGCGATTATTGTGAAGCTATCGTGAATTTGGCGGGGGGCCGTGCTTATTTTAAATTATCTTTTCATAATTTTACCATAACCTCAGCTCAATTCCTTCAAAATATCTGCTGCCATATTTTTGTACATAACCTCGAGATAAAACCCACATTTTCGCCTCGAGGAAATCGGCTCATCCCCGCAGTGAATAGAATATACACTTGCGGCCGGGCTTGCCGTGACTCATTTTTATATCCACGTGTAAATCACGCGATGTGAGCCACTGCACACGGTAGTTTGACCCTAACTTAAATTTGGAATTTACCCTTTCTTTCTACTACGATCATCAATGGTTCGACGCTCCCTGCGAATTCAGGAAAAGGAACTTGCGCCAGTTCAGTCGCACGACCTTGGTGAAGTCACTGTACCCCGCAAACGTGTCACCAGAGACGCAGAAGACAGCGAAGATTATGCTGAAGACTCCGATGGTGGAGTGGCTCCTATAAGAAGAAAAAGGAAGAGATCGAAGAAAGCAGCTAATTTAAAGTCCAAAGTAGAATCTTCTAGCAAAGATGAGGGTCGTGCTGCTGCAAGAACCAAGAAGCAGAACATGCCGGAGCAATTCAAGAAAGTTCGAGGGAAATTAGGCCTGCTGGAGAGAGTGACAAAGGACGTTCCAATGGATGTGATTTTTGAGGTACATAAGATCTTCTGCGCTGTGTCTTGTGCCACTCTGATTCTGTCACATGTGTTCCAGATATTCGGACATCTTGATCCAGGCGATCTTCTGCATCTTGCACGTACATCCAGAGAGCTTCGTGATATCTTGATGAGTAAATCCTCAGAGGGCATCTGGCGCGCTGCACGCAGAAACGTGGAAGGTCTGCCGCCTCTCCCGAGCGATCTGAATGAACCCCAATACGCACATCTTCTATTTGAGCCTTATTGCCATGTGAGTGTTTATACTCCTGCGAATCTAATCAAACTCAGAATTCTCCAAAGATATGTAGGTATCCAGGACACTGTGACAATGTACTGTGGAATTTTCGCATGAGGGCGTGCAAGAAGTGCGTTCTAGCCACGTACGTTACCTGTATTCTCCCCTTCAATTTGCGTTCTACGAACTCTATAGTTTTCCTTCACCTCAAGACCCTGATTATACGAAAGGTCAGCCTCGCGATTGGATATTAGGGGGCATCCTTCCGATAGAGATAATCTCTCTCAAGAAAGGTTGTCAACTCTCCTATGCATGATGCTAGTATTGACCATACTATCTGTTTTCAGGTCATCATTATGGGCACTTCGGCAGCCGTGAAATCATGGAACGATTCAAAACTGAATATGAAGCACTCCAGACCGAGGAAGATCGCAAAGCATGGATTGTCCGCAAGGAGTGTGAGCGTAAAATGGTGCGGGAGGTGCGAAATTCTTCGTTCTACATCACAACAATACAACTCAGATCATCTTTCAGCATGGTCGCCTTTGTGAACAGTGGCTCAAAGAGAGATTAGGCAACCGTGCAGATGAACTAAGCGCTATCCGCAGTGAAAGAAAGGAATCGTAAGTCGATTGATTTCCAAGCGTGGGGTTTTACATAAATCACATACACCAGGATCCTCATTCGGCTCGGCGAAATCGGCTGGCGCGAAGAAGCCGAGAAAATCTTGAGTGGGCCTTCTTCCCGAGATAACTTCAGCAAACACAAGCTGGTCAAGCAATCGAAGAAACTTACTGCTCATGGTACGGAAAATATGAATTCATCTTGTCAAATCTTTGTAATGAATGTTCACTGTAGGCTGGAATAGCATAAAACATGAACTGGTAAAATTACTGTCGGGACACAAGAGAGAACGCACTGCAGAAGAGCGAAGCTGTCTGTTATCCGGGTCTTCTCGTTTTGATCGCCTTCATAAAGTATTCAGTGAACTTCGCTTGGAATCGGATCTCCGTGAACCTTTTCCGAGCTTGGGCGATGTCCTCGCATATGATGGTTTTGAAGGCGTGATCCAGGACATGTTTCAAGACGAAAATGGACTGTCCGAAAATTTGCTTCGCTCAAAACTCTTGATACTTTTGCCGAAAATGATTGAGGAATGGAGACCCGCCAAAATACAGGAACTTGTGGATATCATGCAGATATCTCGTCCGGCAGCTACAGCCGATGACCTATATCTTGCCACAACGATGTTCGAATGTACAGGTTGCTATTCACCTACTACATTGTACTATCCTCAAATGTTCCACCACGAGTGCTGCATCAATAAGAAGAGTCTCGCGGATCTACCACTTTACTATGAATGCCCATGGTCGTCCAGACGAATCGTTTTCAGCGACGCCCGTTCGAAAATGGCGAAAACAATCGTCAAGGCATGTTCCCTTGATACCACCATTACGAAATTTCCAGACATGTTCAGTGTTAACGCGCTTTTCGAATGCCTGAGTTGCCAATGGAACCCTCAAGGTGCCTCAAAAGGTAGCCGGCTTTTCATGCGATGGCCACTTCCGGTATGCAATATTAAATTGACCATTGTGGTTTGCTGAAGCTTTCGTATCTTAGCTGGCTCATGATATAGGCCATTGTTTCACTATCACTAGCACGGCATTCGATGAAAAAATCCTCGCCTGCGAATCGCCTATTAGGAGCCCCGCATTCCTGCCTATATGTTGTGCGTACTGTCACAAGGCTCACGCACGCAAAGCTATCGTGGATCATTTGAAAAACCAGTACATGCCAATCTATCTTCCTGGTTTGTCTGCTCACGAAATTAATCTTTTGTCTTAGGCACGGCAATGTCATCAATACCAACGAACTTGAGAATGATCCAGAACTTCGAGAAATTCGACAGCATTGGTATTGGAGTCCTCGTATAGAAATCGAGAATATTGGCATGCCTTTCCGGTACAAGGAAAGCAGCACATGAATCGGGTTCTTGTTTTATTGAGTCTATGATCTTATTTTTTTAACTGTAAATTACAACAAATATATGCTATATTGTATATAGTCCCGCGAGGAATATCCACTATACACTTACAAAACACGTACTACATAGACGTTTCCACAAATCTAGAGGTAAAATTCCACTTTGACACCCCTCCGTGGACCCGAACTACAGCGCATCCACAGCGACAATCCTGAATTCTGTTCCGCCTCCGGGATCTTTCGTCTCCTTCATGATTTCGCAATGCAGGATATGTTCACCTGGTGTGGCGTCTTCAGTGACGACGTGCGAGCTGAACGAGAAACAGGAAAAAATCGTGAGCATCAATGAACTGGCAATATAGAGGAGAAGAACGCACTTTGCTACATGACTGTTCGGCAACGTATGGCCAACGGACGGACATGCAAACGATCAATATATATATCAGGCAAAAAAGGCAAATTCACTAACATGTCTTTGTATTCCCAATATCCATCTAGTCTTTTGCCCTTGTTCCTGTTGTCATCGACCCAACACCACACGCTTCCTAAGCCATAACTTCCGCTCCTCAAATACGTCACCCTTATCCTTCCTAACGCACTAGTCTGAACTTTGAACGCTACTTTGACACCCGGTTTTCGTCCAGTCAACCACACCTTGCCAGGATTCTGTGGATGGTTCCACATCGCGAACGCGTCGGGACCCTCGGTTGACAGCGGCGGAGCCAGGGGCTCTAGTTGGTGTGCGTAAGGCGAAGAGAGTTGGCCGGTACTTGTGAGAGTTGTAGTTGTACGGCAAAACGGTATAGCGGGCTGAAGAACGGTGGTGTGGTCGAACTTTTGGAACAAGGATAGACGGGGAATATACTCAGAAACAGCCTCGCCCTCATTAGGATTAGGAAGGCTTAACGTCAACCCTTCAAGACGATCATCATCGTAAGGAGTCCAATCCCTACCTCCGACGACATCTGAAGTCTTTCCGTTTGAACCAATTTGTTGGGATTGTTCTTCTCGCCAGCCTTCGCATGCGACGCGAGAAGTGAACGATTTGAGAAGATCACCAATCATACGATGGCCGTGGAAGCTGATGTGACGAAGGTCGACGCCATTTGCATCAACATTGAACCAGTATTCTTCAAGAGAGTTATCGGAAGAGTTTAGTTGAGTAGAACGTAAGATGTGCGGAAGAATAACGTTACGAAGACTGTAACAGGAAAAGGGTGAGCTTGGAATGTTCGGAGGTAGATGTCGTTTGAATATACCTGATGATGGGAGTATCGTAGTACTGAGCTACGGCAGTATGAAGGTCGCCTCCCATTGTTATCGTTGGGAACATGAGAGCCAGGACCTACGAAAAGAAAGTGAGAAGCGCGAGTAGAAAAACAAAAAGACCTTACCTGAACGTTTATAATGGCAGGATGGTTAGGTAGGGCGAAGATTGCTCGTATAAGATTCTCGTATCCTTTGGCCAAATACTCCAATCGCTGGTCGTTAATCGCCAGCTCTATAATGACCAAGTCCACGTCTTCCGGAATGTGTTCTCGGAAACACGTCTCCATATATTGGCTGATTGTCGCTCCAACTGAGCCGTTAATGAGTTCAACTTCAATATTGGCAGCATCAGCGGAAGTTGATTTGGCAAAAGTCTCGCGAATAGATTCAGCATAAAGGTAGGACCAGTTGAGACGGTGGTCTCGTAATCCGTGACCTTTAGAAACGGAGCCGCCGATGATACCGATTTTGATTTTCTTTCCAGACTGTAGTTTTCGGATAACGCGTTTGAGACGTGTATTGGGGCCTTCGTAGGCGCGTGAACGAGCAAGATTGAAGGAGCTGGGTGAACGGAAGTGATTAACTCAGATTTTCTCAAAAAGGGAAGTCAAACTCGCCCATATCTTTTGCAAACCTCGTCAGTAGACGTGCAATAATTGCAGTATGCGGGCTCGGGATTCTTCGCTACTTCGACAGGCTTCGATGTCGCTATTTCCGTTGGCCTTGCTGTCGGTCTCGCTGTGATAGTTACAGTTGTGGTAGTGGTCGAGGTCAATTTCGCCAAAGCTTGCTGATCATTATCATTGGATGAGCAAAAGTTTAATGGAGAACCGAACGAAAAAGTCGAGTTTCCTTCGGAGTCGGAGTAGATAAAGACAAAGAATGTGAGGTAGAGGATGGTCGAGAGCAGTACAACGCCAACGATTAAGAAATATAGTGCAGGGCGGGAGGTAGGTAAGCGACTCATAATGTGGAATCCCTTGTTGGACTGGTCGGGAAAGAGGCGCGAGATTCCGGGAACTCAAACTATAAACAGGTGGTTGTTTATTTACCATCCTTGAGACAAGACAGATCCCCTGATTGACGTCGGAAAAAAGACAGGGGCGTAAGGGAGGATTTGGAAGATGATAATTAAATTGTTATCCTTGTTATTTCTCACGATTTAAAAATTTGAAGCTTCTATCTGCTTTCCTCGTGTAGATTCTCTTTTGGTGTATCTCAGAGGACCAACAAATAATCATCAGTGCGCACTTCTAGATGCATCTTATCTTCCCAAAACAACGAAACAAAGTGACTCCGCACCGCGAACAACCGAATACGACTGTCTCCGATCAGGGCTTATAACTGACCTCCAGACTTTTTGTAGAGCGCGAACTGATTACACTCAGAATTTGACAGGAAGGCTAGCCGTTTATTCAATGTGATGCTTACCTGTTACAGATGGAGGACTCGGTATCGGCAACTTGGACTTGAACGACCTCACATGCTCTCACCGATGCATGTAAACCTGGTTGTGAAAAGTAACCTGCAAGAACCTCGAACGCAGCCAGAAGTTCAAGGTATAGTAGGTTGGAATTCCCCTCAGACTACATCGACATTCTCCAATGACGTTCCTGATCCGTCCACAAATCGCAACGTCGGTGAAAATTCTGTAGACATAGACATACAGTGTACATATGAGCTGCTACGTTGGCAAGTTTGACACAGTATGACTACCCGTTATTCAAAACGAAGCCTGCACTCCCGAGAAGATCGAAACCGCAAAATTCAAAGAAGCTACATACTTTGCAAAAGTCATTCAATAATATCTAATATTTGTCTACCACACGGCATCGAGTATACCGAAACTTAAAACAAGGTCAGGCTGACACTGACAGATGAAAGATCCCGTTAGTTTTCAACGTACACTTACTTCGGTTTACAGAGCATCCACCGCCGCAATTCTAAATTCCGTGGCTCCCCCAGGATCTTTCGTCTCTTCCAGGATTTCGCAGTAAAGGATGTGTTCGCCAGGTGTGGCATTCTCTATAACAACATGCGTGCTACGTGAGATGAAAAGGAGAGGGGAGGGAGATGACAAAAAGGAAAGTAAAAATCAGAATGGTTCATGATAGACATCATTCGGAAGCGCAAGTAACATACTTTGCAACATGGCTATTGAAGGAAAAAGGTAGAACGGAAAAAATTCAGTATCACGGCAAAATCACAAAGCTCCACTCACGCATTCGTATAAATCCAATATCCATCCAACCTCTGACCCTTCTCTCTATCATCATCAAGCCAACACAGCGCACTCCCCAGTCCCCAGCTTCCGCTTCTCAAATACGTTACCCTCACTCGCCCCAATGTACTCGTCTGGATTTTGAACGCTGCCCTGACACCTGGTTTCCGCCCAGTCAACCACACCTTCCCAGGGTTCGATTGATGACTCCACAATTTGAATGCATCAGGACCTTCACTCGAGAACGGCGGGGGCAAAGTCTCGAGGAGGTGTGCGTAAGTCGAAAATGCCGCCATACCTACGAGCGTATTTGTTGTACGGCAGAAAGGAGTAGCGGGTTGAAGAACGGTGGTGTGGTCGTACTTTCCAAAGAGTAATTGACGAGGTATGTATTCGGATACGTCTTCACCGTCGTTTGGATTGGGAAGGCTTGAGAGAAGTCCTTTGGTGTGATCACTGTCGTAGGGATCCCAATCCCAGCCTCCGACCACGTTGGAGTCCTCGCTATATGTACCAGTGAGGTGCTCTTCGCGCCAGCCTTCGCATGCAACTCGGGAGGTAAAAGAAGCAAGGAGGTCAGCCAACATACGGTGACCGTTTTTGCCAACGTGACGAAGGTCGAGGCCGCCAACTATATCATGCCCGAACCAATAATGTTCGAGGGAATCATCAGAATGGTTGAGCTGGGTAGAGCGTAGAATATGTGGAAGAAGAACATTACGGATGCTGAAATCGAGAGTAAGCTCGAAACACGAGCTGAAGATATTTTCATTGCAGCATACCTGATGATGGGTGTGTCGTAGTACTCGGCTACGGCAGTGTGAAGATCTCCCCCCATCGTTATAGTTTGGAACATAAGCGCCATAACCTACGAAACTGAGGTGAGAACGACCGGAGGGAAAAACAAGCACGACCTACTTGAACACTGATCACCGCAGGCCTTTGGGGTAACGCAAATATTGACCGGATGAGATTTTCATATCCCTTCGCTAGATACTCCAACCGCTGATCATTGATAGCGAGCTCGATGATCACTAAATCGACGTCCTCCGGAATATGCTCTCGGTAACAGGTCTCCATATATTGGGTGATTGTCCCGGAAACTGATCCGTTGATAAGTTCAACTTCGACATTGGAAGCGTTAGAAGAAGTGGCTTGAGCGAACGTCTCGCGGATATATTCAGCGTAGATGTAGGACCAGTTATCACGACGATCTTTCAGCCCATGACCTTTTGACACGGAACCACCGACGATACCAATTTTGATCTTTTGCCCAGAACGCAACTTGCGAATAACGCGTTTGAGACGAGCATTGGAACCTTCGTAGGCGCGAGAACGGGCGAGATTGAAGGAGCTGAAACGAGAGAATTAGGCGATCCGACTGCGCCGTGAATAAGACTCACCCGTATCGTTTGCAAAGCTCATCAGTGGAGGTGCAGTAGTTACAATACGCAGGCTCAGGCTCGAATGATTTCGGTGTCGGTGTAACTGTTACAGTCATCGTTGTAGTTGTTGGCGTCAACTCCGGTACAGCATCCTGATCGCTAGAGCTGCACAAGGCCCATGGTGAGCCAAGCGAGATAGTCGATCTTCCCTCCGCGTCGGCGTAATAGAGAAAGAATGTGAGGTAGAGGAGGATCGAAAGCAGGCCAACGCTGAGGATCAGAAAGTAATGAATAAGGCGTGTGGGAGGGGTTCGGCCCATCACAGAAATTCACTAGTGCACTGTCAAAGACCAGAAGGCAACACGAGCAAAAGATTGATTGTCTGATATCGTCTGCATGAGACAGAGCCCCTGATTTACTGCCATGAAGGGCAAAGGCAAGGATGAATTATTTGTAGTAGTTTGTCACAAGGGCGCCTAATCTTCTAAAGCGTTACTTCCCTCAAAAACTCGAAGAGCTTTTACCGCTGGAATTTGAGATAGCGGGCCTGTAGTAATTGACTCGATCCTTGTCCATTTTTTCTTCAATGCACCCTTTGAGGCTAAGCTTTGTCACATTCTCTCCAAGAAAAGGGATCAGCTCCATGCAGACCTGTGCATCTTTGACATCTTTCTACTCTTCCAGTTTCATCTGCAGCGGTCAGAGAAAGTCTAAAAACCGACCGATTGTCTCCAGGAAAAATCATAATTTTTTGATCTACAAAGCATCCACAGCAACTATCCTAAATTCAGTTCCACCTCCAGGATCTTTGGTTTCTTTCATGATCTCACAGTGTAGGATGTGTTCACCAGGTGTAGCATCCTCAACAATTGCATGTGTGCTAGATTGAAAAAAAACAACATTAACTTTGGTGAATTCACAAAGGAAGAGATGGACATACTTTGCAACATGGCTGTGAAGCAAAAAGAGGTTAGTATTCCTGTAACAGCAAATCATCTTGAAAACGACTAACATATCCTTCAAAGTCCAATACCCATCTAACCTTTTCCCTTTTTCTCGATTATCATCAAGCCAGCACCAGACACTCCCCAGTCCATAACTCCCACTCCTCAAATATGTTACCCTCACCCTCCCCAGCGCACTGGTCTGTACATTGAATGCCGCCTTAACCCCCGGCTTCTTCGCAGTCAACCACACCTTCCCCGGATTCTGCGGATGACTCCACATTGCAAAAGCATCCGGTCCTTCAGTCGACAACGGCGCCGGCAGGGGCTCGAGCAAATGAGCATACGGTGAATAATACGCTGTCCCCGCAAGGGTGTTGGTCGTCCGACAAAATGGTGTAGCGGGTCGGAGGATGGTGGTGTGGTCGTATTTTTGAAATAGGGATTGACGAGGGATATATTCAGAGACGGATTCGCCTTCGTTGGGGTTAGGTAGGCTTGGCGTAAGACCGTTATAGCGGTCGCTTTCGTAAGGAGCCCAGTCCCAGCCTCCGACGACGTCGTTGGTAGGATCTTCGTTGTGGGAACTACTCTGTTGGATTTGTTCTTCGCGCCATGCTTCGCATGCAACGCGGGAGGTGAAGGAGCTAAGGAGGTCGCCAAGCATGCGGTGGCCGTGTAGACCGAGATGACGGAGGTCGATTCCATTAGAATCGTGCTCGAACCAGTAATCTTCGACAGAGGTATCGGAGGAGTCGAGTTGAGTGGATCGTAGGATGTGAGGAAGTATAACATTACGGATGCTGGAGGTTGGCGGAGAAGATGAGTTCGAAGGAAAGGAAAGGAGCTCCGGACGCAACGTACCTAATAACAGGAGTATCGTAGTATTCAGCTATAGCGGTGTGAAGGTCACCACCCATCGTAATAGTCGCGAACATAAGTGCCATGACCTTCCAGACAGAAATGGGCAATTCAGCAGAGTGAACACGAGTAAACGACCGACATACCTGAACATTAATAATCGCAGGCCTAAGTGGCAGCGCAAAAATTGCTCTAATAAGATTTTCATACCCCTTCGCCAACACATCCAACCGCTGGTCATTGATCGCCAACTCAATAATCACCAGATCCACATCCTTCGGTATATGTTCACTAAAACACGTCTCCATATACTCACTGACCGTCGCACCGACAGAGCCATTGATCAGCTCTACCTCGACATTGGCGGCATCGGATGAGGTAGATTTAGCAAACGTTTCCCGTATGTATTCAGCGTAAATATGAGACCAGTTATGTCGACGGTCTGTCAAACCATGCCCCTTTGAGACGGAACCGCCGATGATACCGATTTTGATCTTCTGTCCAGAGCGTAATTTCCGAATAACGCGTTTAAGACGGGCGTTGGGGCCTTCGTAGGCGCGAGAGCGGGCAAGGTTGAAGGAGCTGTGAGGGATGAGAAGTATTTGGTAGCTCGCGCGAAAATATATATTGAGACTCACCCATATCGTTTACAAAGTTCATCCGTAGACGTGCAGTAATTACAGTACGCAGGTTCGAGATTCTTATTCGGAGCATCAGCTAATACTGGTGCCAATGTAGGAATCGGTGTCAGCGTCGCTGTGGCGGTTGTGGTAACAGTTATCGTCTTTGTGGTTGGCGTCACCTCCGGAAATTTCACAGCTTCCCCTACAATTTCTGGCGCCTGCTGGACGTTGTTGCAATATGGTGTCGGAGAGCCAAAGGAAAATGTCGAGTTTCCTTCTGCGTCGGTGTAGAAGAAGAATTTGAAGTAGAGAGTTATGGTAAGAATTATTAGGGCTATCAGAAAGTAGTGGAAAGAGCGTGAGGAAGGGATTCGACCCATGTTCGGAGTCCCTCTGAGTGTGTGGAGGTGTGGAGATGTAGAGGTCGTTAAGAAGGTCTAAAGGAAGCCGACGAGAGCGAATCGCGAATGTAAGATTCTGAGAAGAGGAGAAATAATTGATGAATTCGGGTATCTACCCGACTTCACGGCGAATCTTCACACCGTCGGGAAAAGGCATGCGCAACGCGTTCCCAAGGTCTAGACTTTACTACTCCTTTTGCTTCCACCACCAGCGATGAAATATTAATGGAATCCATTTTTGTCTTCGAATTTGTGCTATGGCAAGTTGGCGAAGGTTGAGACGGCGCTTGAGTGCCCCGACCGACGGTAACCCAGGGGGAGACACATGCTGAAATTCGAGAGATCCCAAAAACCGTTGGGGTTTGTTTGGCATTGCCTTCTAGTGCCGTACAGCCGCTTAGCCGAACGATGCCGGATCCTATTATGTGTGCTTGATTCACTATTGCGAATTTGTGCAGAATGTCTGATACTCTCATTGGAGTGCCACAGTTATTGCAGTAAATTGCAGGTTTCCTATTTCAAATATGTAAATGAACTTTGGATGAAATGATCTCCGAGCTCTATATCTGGAGGGGGGCATAGTTGCAAAACACAGAAAGATACAGAGCATCAAGAGTAAGAGCAGATGGAAGCCACGAAGCATCATCGCATATCTATGCTATACATGCATCAAGGCCGTATTGAAATCGGATGCAGTGAGAACCTGGTGAGGACACGATAGATCAGATAACTAGCATGCTACGGCATGTCTCGGCCGTGCGGCTGTGCGGCACGAGAAGGTAATGCCAAACACACCCCAACGGTTTTTGGGATCTCTCGAATTTCAGCATGTGTCTCCCCCTGCGGTAACCCCTCAATGCCTTTGGAAAGCAACAAGCGCAGAACAGGCGAATGATCTATTTACCAGTTATCCCTGAGCTGTCCTCTTTTCTTCTTTCCTTTCTTCCATCAACTCGCTGGTCGAGTCCATTTGCTGGTCAAAAAAAAACGTTCCTCTTCAGCCTGCAGTCTTCGAAGTAGTCTTCGCCTGTTCATATTTCATTCAAGGTCAATCAGGAAAGGTTAGTTGTAACAGAATCTTAACGCTTCACACCTGCTAGAGGCTGATCATCTCTGTTCCAGTCTCCATTTGCCAAATTCAACTCGCCTTCACCTCGTTATCCAACATGCATATTCGCTTCAGCCATTTCTTTGGAGTTCTGGGAGTCGTCTCCGTTGTATGTGCGGCGCCGTTCACTAGTCGCATTGTGAGTGAAGATTTCATTCGTTGACAACAATCCTTTTACATTCTTGCTTACATCTCTAATCGTAGCGAAGCGACACCGTCTTCCAAGAAGACCTTGTTGCAAGATCGAGAACCTCTCAGGATATACAATCTTCCATAGGTTCCTGGGGTGTTGCTATATCCACAACTCCAACCCGCCGCGAGGATACTGAGACGGGAGTTATCAACGTCGCTTTCGATTACAACCATGACAAGAGGCATACCAATACGGTGTATGATGAGTGGGTTAAAGAAATCCTCCAACATGTTCCGGATACTGCGAATGCTCAAGTAGAATTTATCAACAATCCCGACACGAATCATTTCGTTGGCTGTTCCTTCCACTTCTCGGTTGGGAGAAAGCGATATCATGCGGCTGCGACGTCTTCCAATGATTTTTATGTCGCAGATGCTCAAGCGCCGGGACAGAAGAAGATTGCTCAGCAAGGCAAACGTGAGTGGTGGCGTTCTACTGGTCTCCTTCGCTTCCGTATAGTCAGGCTTCTTTTTTTCATCAATCTTTTCCATCGTTGACTATTGACCTTTATCGCTGATATCGTGTGCTTTTCTGTCGCCTTTAGAGAAATCCACCGACTTACAGGTAAAGAAGAAGACTTGGTGGGGAAATTGACATGGTCATTGGTTGAAACTCGGTGAATTCTATGATTCCTTTTAGACTTCCTGTTTACTGCCTGTACCATACTATATACTACCAGTCGGAGTATCCATTACTTTTATGGCATTCTTTGAGGAAATACACAGAACTTGACTATCGTTCGAATTACTAGTGAAGAAATTTCGGAAAAGGTTGGTAGGGAGTTGGGAAGGCATTCGCCTGCTTTTGAGCTGAGGTGAGCTCGCTTTACAACTTGCCATTATGTAAAAGCCCCCTCATTTGTTATCTTATCTAGCTCAGACGATCGAATAAAAATCACTGCGGGCCTCCTAACCTCTCTTAATCTAGGCTTACCGGGCCCTGGCCTCTCTCCGCAAGAGGTTCAAAAAAGCAATCCGCGCCCGCTGTTAATTTTGACAATGACATTGGGGTTCCGAGGTGCTCCAATCAAAATCAAAATCCGTGCGTACGCGCATTAAGACCGCGTGTTTCGGGGAAATCTTATAAAAAGTTCCACCCGTTAGTTTTTTTCCTCCTGAATTCCTTCCGCCTTCCTGACCCTCCCTAGTCATCCTCCAGGCTCATTATCAGGTCTCCTTCTGCTCACGTCCTCATTCTACACCCAGCCAATCAGATAAATCATAGTTCCTATCCTTTCATCAAACCCTTCACTATCTTATTACTCCTATGTTTCGATTACCCTCTTTTCGACACTCCTTTCAATTCTACTCCCTCACCGCCGTCGTTCTACTTTCAATCGTCTTCCTTTCGAAGATGTTTGTGGTTTTCTATAAGGATGGGGAATTCTTCGACGGATATTCTTCCCCGTTCTATTGTAATGTCATCGGGAACGGGAAGAGTAGTGGGAGCGCTCAGGGATCGGCAACCGGGACCAAGGGCGGAAGCGAGCTAGAGGCAGCAGCAGCGGTTGGGGAGACAGTACAATTGACATCCACGATGACAGTCACAATGACTTTGACACACATTACTACACCGACACCGACACCGGTAGCACTAGAGGAAGTGATCGAGGAACCCGAGCCTCAGTATTGTGGGTATTGTACTAGTACTGATGAGATTTGTAAACGATATGGGTGAGTTTCTCTATCGTTTCGTTTTAATCAATCAATTCAAATATTCCACATGCGTAGTTCTTTCAATCTTGCACGCTCACGTGCCTACGACGGTCCTAATGCACGACTCAAACGCGTTCTCCGTAAACTTCGCTCTGGACAGAAAATCAAAATCGGTATAATTGGGGGTTCGGTCTCTGCAGGCCATGGTCTCCCCGACCATCGTTTAAACTGGTCATACCTCTACGCTCAATACATTCGAGAGACTTTTGGTTCTGAGAATGTTGAAGTGGAGCTGATCAATGGGTCTGTTGGGGCCACTGTTAGCGACTATATGGAGACGTGTTTTCTGGAACATATCACAGAAGATGTGGATCTGGTGATTATTGAGTTGGCGATTAATGATATGAGGTTGGAGAAGCTCGCGATGGGGTACGAGAATTTGATTCGGGCGGTCTTCGCGTTACCGAATAGGCCTGCGATTGTTAACCTCCAGGTGCGTTCATGGTTCTGTGTTCCACGAACCTACACAACGATTGGGCTTCAGCTGAAATAATATATGCACGCAGATCATGGCTTTGATGTTCCCCACTATCACCATGGGTGGTGATTTGCATACCGCCGTCGCGCAATATTACGATACACCTATCGTCAGGTACATCATTTTGCTTTCCTTATGTCCCCCTTCCAAACTCACATTTTTAGCGTCCGGAATGTCCTTCTTCCACATATCCTACGTTCTACGGAGCTTAACCCCTCCGATACCTCTGTTGAGGATTACTGGTACTACCACAACGACGATGGATCCATTGATTTACGACACTTGGGTATAACCGGACACCGTATGCTAGCAGACCTCCTAATATCTTTCACCTCCCGCGTTGCATGTGAGGCGTGGCGGGAAGAACAACAACAGCAACACGCCCCCGCCGGTTCATTCGTCGGAGGTTTCGATTGGTCCCCATACCCCGATGACCGCCTCGATCCCGACTCCCCAACGCCCGGTACTCTCAGTTTACCAAATCCTAACGAAGGCATCGACGTCTCCGAATACATCCCCCGTGAATCTCTTTTCCAGAAATTCGATCACACAACGAAGCTCCTTCCCGCTCGACCATTCTGTCAAATCTCCGCACCCAATGCGAAACACCCTCTGATGCCCCTTCCTCAGCCTGTATCCTCTGAAGGGCACGACGCGTCTGATATGTCACAAGTGCCGGATCCCTCGGATGCTTTCGCCTTGTGGAGTCATCCAGGCAACCCAGGAAAAGTGTGGTTGACTGGCCGAAAACCTGGTGTGAAAGTATCGTTTGCAGTAAAGACGAGCAGTCTGGGAAGGGTGAGGGTGACGTACCTTAAGAGCGAGAGCTATGGATTGGGGAGTGTTTGGTGTTGGATTGACGGGGACAGGGAGAAGGGGGAGAGGTTGGATGGGTGGTGGCCGGTTGAAAATATGTGAGTGTTTATGCGAAGCATTCTGTTACTTGTTACTGACCTTTCCTTCGTTCGTTTCTCTCCTTTGGCCTTCCTCCACAGAAACGTCGCACAGTGAGTTTCACTCTTTCCGCCTTTCGAAATCTTATACTCATCGAAAACTATCTCCTCCTTTTCCATCTTTATCGTCTTATCATCTCCTATCTTCCTCCCCCAGCCCTCAAACAGTCGCTGAATCCCTCTCTCCCGGCGATCATATCCTCACTTGCGAGATCCTCGAAGATACCAAGGATCCAGGTGGTGGAACAGAGTTCCGCATCGTCGCTATAGATGCTTTGTAAACACCTGGAGATGTTAGCTGTTGCAGTGGAGACTTGCGACCACATACTGTGTCCGGACTCCTCGCGAGGTGGAAAATTCGGGACTCTGTTGGGAAAAAAGAGAACCACGCGACGTTTCAAGTTATGCGAGGGAGTAGAAGATATGGATACGGGGGCTTTCGTTCTGGAATGACTTCGGGAAGGGACGGTAAAGATCCTCGACGACGAAGAAGTGTCGATACTACGGCGAGTCAAACAGGAAGCCACAGGGCTTTCTGGACGTCGTCGTGAGTCTACGAGAACTTAATGAGAAGTTTATATACCATGAGTCGAGAGCATGACTTCTGAAAACATATCATAGCTAAATCTATCTACATATGAGGTAGTACCTCTATTTGTTGGACTGTCATGACTTGTGATTCTTCTCCATCCTGGAATTAGGGCATGAATACAACCGGGCTATCAGGGTCTTTATTAACTTGCATCTTCACCACAATAACAATCTACCCATTTATTTCCATGAGTAAAATGGTTAGGATCAAGAGTATAAGGCCCTTGAGTACAAATGATATGTTCCATAGGGGGAAACAGGAGAACTGGACGGTACTCCGGGGGTATCCAGAGTAAGAGTGAACTGAACTATTTGGAACATGCTGAAGAATATTGCTATTTGCAATGTATTGTTCATTTTTAATTGCTTCAGCTAAAGCTCCTCGAATTTCTGAAAACCTAACACCTAAATCATGTGCAATGGTGCATGGATCATTGCTAGGTGTTTGCTCTTTGGCATAGGTGCAGTTGAAGCAGAACAAATACACCCAATTCTTCAATGAAGGTTTTTTCCCATGGAGTGGCTGACTGGATTTTCCTGTTCTAGCTGCCCCACAAAATAAAAAAGTATGGCACATAATCAAATCATTGGTGTTGATCCAATCTGATATTTCTTGAATAATTTTATGCTTGTGCCCTCTATGCAGTCCTTGTCTGTGTCTGTTGGGACAAACTCCGTACGTACAGCTTTGGCCTCAACCTTACCATTTCCAGACATCGTTCCCAATCCGTATACGCAGATCATGATTACTACATACTGTACAGTTGTAGATGGATCACGCAGACGGACAGTACTCGAGCTCCCTCAGTTGCTTTTACATCAACTGAGGTGAGCTCAATAACATACTAGAATACTCGCACTTACTGATGGTACCCGCTAGTTTAATACTACGTTAACAGGTACCTAAACAATACTCAGTTGCTTTTACATCAACTGAGTTTAATACTACGTTAACAGATTATGAGACTCGTTCTCTGATTAGTTGAAAAAGATTATTCGCAGCAAAAAGAACTCAACATCAGAAAACATCAACAGAGATGTCGACAGCAAGTATGGTAAATATACCTAGGTTACCGGACGAGAAACAGCTCGTCGGTGAGGAAAACTGGAGACCCTTCAAGCGTGAAATATCGTTTGCAGTGCAGGCTCGAGGACTGACTGGATATATGGACGGGACGATACCGAAGCCAACTCCGACTACAGAAAACTACCCGAGGCCGATTTACCAGACAGCCCCAACCCCAGCGTATAGCGTTACACCGTGCCTAGAGGAATGGGTGTTGCGCGATAGACTAGTCGCAGGGGCGATAGTATCAAACATCGCTGACCCCATAGGTCTGGGCATAGACGAGACAAAAAGAGCCTCCGAAATCTGGCAGAGCCTAATCAAAAGGTTCGAGAAGCGCGATGAGCAGAGGATCCATTTGGCAGAAACCAGCCTTCGCCACGAAGTATTCGACCCATTGACCGATACGATGGAAGCACACGAAAGGAAAATGCGGAACCTCCTCAAAAAGGTACACGACCTTGGGGGAACCTCAACGGATGCACAATTCCGCCGCATCACGATCTTTTCGATGCCTCCCGACTGGAGACAGGATGTGAGAACTGTCCCCGGAACTACGAGCGCGGAAGCATTCACGTATCTCCAGACGCTCTGGTACCAGAGAGAGGAAGAGCGCAAAGAGGAAGAAAGAGACACAAAGAGAGTAAAAGCACTTATGGCCGCTCACGCACACTCGCAGACGCCGAACAGCCAACCTCGCGATCAGTCCCGAACAGGTGGTAGATCCTCGACAATATGTCACAACTGCAACAAAGCCGGGCACATCGCCAAGAAGTGCTGGGCGAAAGGTGGAGGTATGGAAGGCCAGGGACCGAGACAGAACACCAAGCCCAAACCGGACACCAACGCGAACGCGATGGCGACGACCGATGAAACAGGCTTCACATCTCCCATGGCGACCTATGTAATGTCGGTCAAAACGAGCAGCGAGCAGGGTATGTCCAAAAACGACCAGAACCCAGTCCCAGACGCTGACCCAATGAACAGGCAAACTCATACCGTTCTAAAGGGAGGGAATCAGCGCGAGGAGACTGGGAATGGAACGGAGGACGTACATAGCTTTTCTATAGTTGCGCCTAAAGACTGCACAATATGCAGCGGTCGCACATCCCTGTACTCACCCCCACTGCCCGCAATAAAAACATTTCTTGACTCCGGAGTGTCAGAGCACTGCTGGGTCAATAAGACCAACTTCGTTGAGTATTCCGAAGTACTGGGACAAGGTGGAAATAGCGCAGTATTGGGGGAAGCAGGAAGATTCCAGATCATGGGTGTGGGCACAGTCCAATTCGTAACGCGAGTCGGCGACGAAGAAAGAGTGATCCAGCTACGAGGGGTGAAGCATACCCCATCGTTCGGACACAATCTCATCTCCCTAACCACGCTAGATGGCCGTGGAATGCGAGGAGAATGGGGAAGAGGGATTATGACCGTGAAGTCCTCAGATGGTCACACGATAATGGAAGGGCACGGGCGGAGTAAGATGTACGAGATAGAGGTGCTGGAATCTGGGAAGACGACCGTAAACTACTCGCGCTCCCGCGACAGGCCAGTAGACATACTAACCTGGCACAGGAGATTAGGGCACGTAGCGATCCGGCGCATAATACGAATGGCGAATCGCCGCCTAGTCGACGGGCTGAATATCACCAAGGGAGAAGTGCTGGGCATGTGCGAGGACTGCCTGTATGGAAAGGCGACTAAACGACCATTCGACGAAGTACTGACCCACAAGACGGAGATTCTGGAACGGGTGCATGTAGACCTATTTGGACCCGCGAGGACGCAAACCAGAGGTGGAGCAAGCTACCTGATGCTGTACACAGACGGTAAATCATCGTTCCGGGTTCCACACTTCCTCAACAACAAGAGGAAAGAAACCGGGGTGAAGGCACTACATGAGTACCTGTCATGCCCTGCCTAAAACCAGACCAGCCCCAGTACCCGCCACACGTTGTCACACACTCTATACACCTCCTGCACTTCCCCTACACCTCCCAAGTCACCTCCCCAAGTACCATCATGCACCTCCATCCTGCACCTTCCCACACAAGTACCACCATATACCTACCCAAACGTTCTTCACCGACACACGTACATTCCCCGGCGCGCATACAGGACCCCCTATAGCAACCCCATTAAGTATCAATCTCGATTACCGCCTCATGTTCACTAGATCCCCTGATGTTCCCTTGTCCACTTCCCGTACCTATTTAAGTAGCTCTGACACGTCCCCAAGCCCCACCTTGGTATATTTTGAACACACACCCTTTTGCATAGGTCCAGTCCCTGTCCCTTTGTACCTGCTAACCATACGGATTTCTCTTTACTCTCTGTTTCTCTACCTCCGTTTCTCTCTACTTCTGTCTATTGTCTCTCTGGTCATCTATACGATCAAATATACGCTTTCACTTCAAGTCTAAGCCTTCCGAGTGAGTCCCCGAGCTCCCTCGAACATTACTAAAGCTCCCCAACGCCTACCCACCTTGGTGAGCTACCCTTCCCCAAATCTCCCAGAGCTCCGTAGCTACTTCGTAAGCTTCGGGACCTCGATCTAGGTAACGTCGAAGCTACCCCTCACGTCGGACTACGTATTGCTTCTCCGTTACCACCTCCCACACTCGAGGACGTCCATCCTCAAGCTCAGCCCCCAGGGACCTACCCTCCCTGACATATCCCTTCTCGGGAGCTTACACTCTCGAGACCCAGTTGCATATACGACCTACTCGATCCTATATTGACGTTCTAGCGAGTACAACTCCTACTACGCAATACCGTACGGTCCCGCACTCTTCCTTAACCTCCCTACGCCTTAGGGACCTCCCTGGACCTCCTAGGAACCCCCTCAAGGGTCATCATCTCGTCGTTCCAGGCACTACTAGGTCATTCCCGTCCTCGGTCGCGGTTCTCGTAGCTCCCTTCGAGCTCCAGCCTGCTCCTAGCACACTACAACATAAAACTTTATATACCAAACCTACCCTAAGACCCATTTTGACCCAGGTCTTACAGTACCAAGTTATGGCGGAAACACAGACGGGCAAGAAGTTGAAGAGAATTCGAATAGACGGAGGCGGGGAACTGAACAATGGGGAAGTGGACAAGTACTGTGCCGAGAATGGAATCATTATAGAAAAGGTCCCACACGACTCCTCTGCAGGGAATGGAGTGGCCGAACGGGCGTTCAGGACCATAATGGAAGGAACCCGCACCCTGCTCGAGGATGCTAAGCTACCATACTCCTTCTGGGGAGAGGCAGCCTCCACCTTCATCTATATCGACAACTTCGTCCCCTCGGCCAGGTTCCCAGACATAGTACCCGTCGAGGCTTGGACCATGAAACGTCAGGACGTCGCACACCTGCGGCCCTTCGGTTGTGAATGTTGGGCAACACTAACACGGAGAAGGACTGATGGGAAGCTAGGTAGGCAGGCAGTGAAAGGCCAGTTACTTGGGTATATGGGTAGGCGGGGCTACCGTGTATGGATACCGGAGACCAAACGGATAGAAGAATCCCACGATGTTACATTTGAGTAAGGCGAGCCACACAGAATGAGAAAAAGGAGGATAGAGGACGAAGGGGAGGACAGCGTGGAAGACACGACACCCACAACACCTGACAACCGC